TTCCATTAGTTGTGCTCTACTTGATATAGCCGACAAACAGGTTGATCAATTGCTTGACATTCGTATTACTCCTGCTTCTGTATCTAAAGTGATCTCCTGCTTAGACTCTTCTACAGCTTGTGGTCCGGAGAACATATCTGTTATAGTCTTGCAGAAGTGTTCTCTGGAGCTGTCATTTATACTTTTGAAAGTTTTTAACAAAAGTTTATCAGAATAGTTTTCCAGCCTGCTGGAAAGCAGCATTTATTATCCTTATTTTCAAAAACTCTGAAGAGCGATCTGAATCGTCTAACTACCGTCCCATTAGTCTTCTTCCTATCATGCAAGCAATGTTTTTGAATCTTTTATTGAAACAAACACTCAATCTCTTATCTTGAATCTAATAACTTCTGATCATCAATATGGATTTCGATCTTCTTGTTCTACAGCTGATTTGCTAACAGTAATAACCTATAGGTTTTATCGTGCATTAGATAGATGTGGAAAAGTGGAGAAGGCTATCGTTGGAGAAGGCTATCATTTTTGACATTTCTAAAACTTTAGATAAAGTTTAGCATGCTAGTCTTCTCCATAAGCTTTCCTCTTAGGGTGTATTAGGTAACATCTTTAAGATTATTGAATCTTTTCTTACCAATCATAGAATAAAAGTTGTCCTTGATGAACAACACTCTTCTTCATATCCAGTAACTTTAGGGGCTCTTCAAGGTTTTACCCTTAGCTCAATACTCTTTTTAATTTACATTCTAAAAATAATTACATAAATAATAAAATAATTACATTTTAATTTACAATCTTCCAGATATTCTCACATCTGAGGTGCTTTGTTTGCTGATGATACTACTATTTATTCTTGTCTTGATTAGAAGCCAACATTCTCTGATTGTTTGGAGGGGGCATTTGAGCTTGAAAAGGACCTCACTTCTGCTACAGCATGGTGCTCTCAGAGACTGGTGAATTTTGATTCAGATGAAACTAAATTTTTTTCAGCCAATCGTTATCACAATAAACTAGATTTTCCTACATTAATGAACGGTATTGTATTCGATGATTAATCTACCCTTCATCTTCTAGAATTAACTCTTACTTCAGGTATTTCTTGGAAACCATATATCAAATTGATTGCAAGACTAGTATCTACAAAGGTTGCATCTCTATATTGAGCTCGCCACTTTCTTACTCCGAATTCTATTCACTTATCTCTATAAATCTCAAATCCGTCCTTGTATGGAATAGTGTTGCCAAATCTGGAGTGGATCTTCCAATGATGCATTTTCTCTTTTAGACAAAGTACAAAAACGCATTGTAAACATAGTTGAACCTTCTCTTGCAGCCAACTTCCAACCATCACACTGTCGAAATGTTGCTTCTCTTTCTTTTTTCAACAAATACAATAATGGGCACTGCTCTAAAGATCTAGCGCCTCTTGTGTTATCTACTAAAATTCATTTTTGTATTACTCACTATTCAATTAAGTCTCATCCTTTTACTGCAACTATTCCTAAGCGCTCCAAAATTCTTACTTGTCTAGTTTTTTTTCTTGAACAGCAGTTCTTTGGAATTCGGTTTCTTCACCTTGCTTTCCTGATTAATATAATTTGCAATCCTTTAAGTCATCTGTCAATCATTATCTTGCTTTATAAACTTCATCTTTTCTCTTCCAGTAACTTCCAACTCTAATAGTGGTTGCTTGCAGCCTTGTTGGAAGTGAAGATGTTGGAAAAAAAATAAAAAATTTACAAAAATACAAATGCATTATAATTGTTGAGGATCCTTACAAATAAATATATACTATACCTTGATATTCCAGATAGTGCAAATACAAAAAAAGTATTTACACTACCTGGAATATCAAGGTATAGCACATCTTTGCTCTTTTTATAAATTTTTTCTCAACTTTTTATAAATTTGGAAGACAAAAAATTAACACAGATTTTGTTATGTGATAGTTACCACAATATTTGAATTTAAACATTTGAAAACCAACATTTGAAAACCAAATTAATCAATATATATATATACATACATTAAATCTCATGAATTTTTTTTTTTTTTTAAAGTGGATCATTAGTCAACAAACATGTTTAGAGCTTCTCAACACTACAGACTTGGAAAAAATAAAGATATAAAGCCAGAGTCCTTTTAAGACTCCGCATCCCTGATATATATAATGATTTTAAATCAAAATGATATGCATTAAAATACACCACATATTAAATTGAAAATCATCATATTCTTTTTGGTAACGCACCATATTAGAAACCATTGAAAAAATTACAGTTTATTTAAAACCAATATGCATACTTGGACTGTCAGCACATTATAACGTGTCAAAAAAAGTTCACACCTACATTTAAAAGTGTAATTTGTCTAACTGTGCTAAATCAATTCTAAAACCTTTTAAATAATCTATTTACATATTTATGAGTTTCTTTATGTAATCAGTTCTGGAGTTATTTAACAATTCATAAACAAATATCTTTGATTATGAACAAAAAATTAA